TAGCCGAAACGTTATCTCGATTCCGGACTAGGCGAGTTATACGCGGTGGCCAGGGAATTGTGGATCCGTGTTTCGCGAAGTAGAATTAATCATTGAAACAAATAGGTTTCAAACCCCTGCCTTGCGATATTGCGGCAGAAAGTTAATTATTTCTATGATTTTTCTATTATTTCTCTATTTTCGTAATTTTTAGTGTTTCAGAGTAAATGCACAGATCAAATGATCGTGGATCTTCTCCCATTTTCTAACGAACTGTGAACAATGTTTGCATTTTGTTATAAATAATGACATAGTTATGTCCCGAAGTTCCTATTCCATAATTGTGGAAACTTTAAGGATGCTTAATGAGTAATTACAGATGCAAATCTCAAGAAACGTATTTCCACGAGTTTTTCAAAATACAGTAAATAAATCACTCTAATTATGCAGCGGTTCTAACGTCAATCGTTATCAATCAATTAAAGGCTGTTTGCGCGCAGTTAATCGGTTCGCCAAATGAATTGGCAAGTTTATAGGCAACTAGCAACAAGGTTGTGTCGCGATAAGGTGCGAAAAGGTGAGACCGAGAAGCCCGCGCTGCAAGGTGTGAACGAACCAGCCGAGAACCGACGCAGAATCTCGGCCAAAGGGAAACAGAAAGTTCGATAACAATAAATCCTCCGAGCCGCGAGCAAACAAACGCTCGACAGTGAAGAGGATGATACAACGAATCAACAATAGTTCAACCCTTTGCATTCGGGAGTGTTTCACTAGAAATGTTTTAACGCTTCAACTATCAAAGGGTCAGAATCACATTCCTGATTTCTGCTTTCTGCAATTATCAAAAGATAGATGTTTCTCTTAGAAATGATTAAGGTCATTGATTTACAATCAATACAATGATACACTCAATGAAAAGTTAATGTAACTGCTCGGTAGTTTTAGTGTTAACATTTTCTGACATTTTGCAACTTTCACATAGCTGTGGGCTCGTGATCTAGTTTTTCCTACTGATCGACAGAGTTTGTATAAATTTCTTCTCGAGAAAATTGATAGAGTATTGTAGAATTAGCTAAATTGTTTTGAAACAAACACAGATGAACTATAAAGGCTGTTTTAAGTATTCGAAGCTTCATGACTGCATATCTCACTTTAAAGAGAAGGGAGCTGTGTGTTAATCTCTGTCGTTTCAACGAGTGAAGTGTTTGTTTAGCTTCTATTCTGGATGCAAGATTTAGCTGGTGATAGCTACAGTAGCGTTGCAACCAGAAGTTAGCAAAGTGTATGCTACTGACTCTGAATCGAATGTTATTTGTCTATTATCAATCATTAACCCTCGGAGTAAGCGTAGATCAAATGATTCTAGTACAGTCCTAGGAGAAACCAGGGGATAAGCGGCTAGCACGTCGACTGCTGCGAGTGGCAAATGAATGAAAACAATCATTAACACTAAAACTATCGAGCAATTAAACTGACTGCTTAAAATTCCTCTGTAGAAACTCGAAGAATACATCTACAGACTTCAATTGATTTACAATTCAGTTTGCTTATAAATCAAATCTTTTAATAATTTCTCAGAGAAATGTTGATCATTGTAATAATTGCAAGAAGGTAATTTTAACCCGTCCGATAGTTTCAGTGTTAATTATCTTATTTCGTTGGTCGGATTGGTTAACTCCGTGAAATAAGAGGTAGGAACGTGATGCAGCGGTATACATTGATTTCTGAAGTTCCCTCTAAATAGAACGTCAAATAAACATTACAGAATGTTTCTTACTTTATTGTTGCAGGTGTAGCTTTCATGTAAAATGCATGAAATAGTATAACCTTCGATTAATCGCTAGTGTTATTGCAACTCTTGCATAACCAAAAGTATTTCTGTTGTTTCGCGATAGCGAGCCCAACAATAACTAAGTTTATATTGAATATGAATGCTCGGTCGAACACACGATCTTCGGCAACGATATTTCGAAAACGCGAGTCAACCGATTTCTACTACTCATGCTCTAATTACTTTCGATAGCTAACAAAGCGCATGTCACCAACGATCACACTCAATCAACCGTAACAAGGAAATTTCGAGGAATCCAACGAATCGAGCCAATTTACTTAATGCGCCACGTGCTAATTAGTTCCACTAATTCCCCAAATGCCGGTCACCGGTGAAGTCGATCAATCCTTCAACAAAATTTCAAGCAAAATCAACCGATTCGTTCAATCGCCTCCTACTCTGAATAACTTTCAACGATCCCAAAGCGCCGGTCACCGGTGCCCACTAGAATGACCACCAACCAACTCCCGAGTTACCTGCCAGCCCCATTTCGCAATCGGTGTCAAGGATCAAGCTAGTTGTTCCTGGCTGATCGGCGGCCGCCTGACCGCGAGCGATCCTGGATCCTCGCAGGTGTCGGCCATCGCGCCGGTCCTTATCGCGCGCGCGAATTACGTTGCACCGCGTCGTGGTGTGCACCGTTTAATTGCGTAATTCGTTACGATCGCACAAATCACTAACGACAAAATCCACTCTGCGCTCGGCCGCGAGCCTTGGAGGGGAGGCGAAGAAGAGAAGCTGGTCGTCAAGGGTGGCACGAGACAAAGACGGGGCGGTGGGAGGGGCGTCGCGTACCGATCACGCGAAAGTCATCGAAACGATGACGGCCCGGGGACACGGGGAGGCCGGGGAACGAGGAAACGAACAGGGAAAACGAGGATCACGATGGAAACACGCGGAAAATTCGCTGATACAGTTCGCCCAACGACGTCGCGGAGACGACTGGGCGAGCAGCTGACGTGTTTTGCGCTCGGCTCGTGCCGACTTCGAGAAAAGTGGGGCTGAGGAGAGCGTGAGGAGAGCCGCGGCTGAATTAGGGGACGAGTGGGGACGGGCTAATGAGTTTCGCGAGGTGGGGAGCGAGCGACGCGCGAAAATTCGCGAGGGTTGATGCGGATTTCGCGAGAGTTTCGTCGAGTTTGGGGTAGTTTGCGAAGGTTTGGGGTGGTTCGAAGATGGTGGAGGTTGGATCTTTGAGACCACGATGATTTTGTGAAACGTGATTGATATGTGGTGTGGAGACGTTTGAGAATTTTGGGTTTGTTGAAGTATTGGGTTGGGCGTTGGGAATTCTTTGGGAAACTGAGAGTTTGTGGGGAATTGTGGAATATTGTGGAATATTGAAAGAAATTGTACGAAATTGTGGAATATTGTAAAAAATTGAAGGAAATTGTAGGAAATTGTGGAATATTGTAAAAAATTGAAGGAAATTGTAGGAAATTGTGGAATATTGTATGAAAATATGGAATATTGTACAATAATGTGAAATATTGTTCAGTAATGTGAAATATAGTAAAAAATTGTAAAGTATTGTAGAAAATTGTGAAGTGTCGTAAAAGTACTGTACACTTGAATGGATACAATAAAAGGTGCTTGAAATTCCAACGAAAGAATTAGAAATAATTTGCTCTAATTGCTAGACAGTCCTAATGTTAGGGTACGTAAACCGCTATCTTATAAGTTTCTATTCTATTTTCAGTGTGACAATGCGACGATAACATCATATATGTTTATGCAACTAACCTATCCCATAGCTGAATAAATTTACTAAATACCATATTAATACGCGACCGTTAATTAAAGAAGACCCCGAACAACAACGTAGCGTTTCAGTGAAAAAGGTTCGCTAATTTGCGTTTTGATAATGATCGTGGCCTCATTACCCGATTACGTGAAACTGAAATCACGGGATGTTACGTCACCTGACAGCCGGACGACATTTCGAATCGTCTTCGCTACAAATAATTTGCGTCAAGACCAAAGAAACCCGATACTCTATTCTCCATGCGAAACGACCAAATGATTCACGTACCGTCGCGACAATAAATCCGATGCAGTTTCAAGAATGCTGAATTGACCGTGAGTAATCGATCAATTTCATCCTCGGAGAAACTAAACTGAACTAAACAATCGTACGAAAATATTATTCAATATCGAACATTGCAGGCTCTTACGTTGTTATCTAAGCAGTTACTTAAATCGTTCAACACTTTCATTCCGCATCAATCATCCGGCTACAGTTGCATTCAAAAGCCAACGCGTCGACGCTAGAACAACGTACACCCAACACGACCGCCCTATAGAACGCTCCTAAAAACTTGAACAATAAATTTGTCAAAATTTCTACTATCATTCATTACAATATACAACTAAAGCCACTAGTTCGCAAAATAATTTCAGGCATTCGACACTTTTATAACACTAATAACTACAATAGAAGAAAACCGAAACTGTAAATGACCGAAAATAACCGGCTTCAGTTTCCTCATTCCGTAACTATTAATATCTCGAAACTACTAAACGTCCGAAATAGTTTAAAAAACAAATACTTCCACTTCGACGCTATAAATATCCAGAAACCGATTTACCGCGATCCTCGCAACGATCGCGTTAAACTGCCGACGCTGATTTCCATCGTTAAACCGCATGGAAACGCGGCGGAAACTTTCCGCGACCGAATCGAGAGCGGTGATTTAATTTCCTCGCGAAAAGGGTAAACGAAATCCTCATTCCACGGGGATTCGTCAGTGCGGCGACAAAGGATCACGATTAATTTCACTGCTTACACGGCGGCAAGGTGTATTTCCATGTAAGGGAGATCTACGGCGGTACGGACACGACCGAGGAGATAACGGAAAGATAGACGGAGGAGGAGTGGTGGCGAGGAGGGGGAGAAAAGTGTAACAAAGCCGGTGGCTGGCAAATGAGTCAGTTTAGCGATAAACGGAAAGTAACGAGCGGCTTTTCAACGTGCGCGACAGACAGAGAAAAGGAGGAAAAAGGAGGGAAAAGGAGGAAAGAAAGGGTTCGAGCGAGAGAGGAGAGACAGGGGCAATGAGGCAGCCGTAAATGAATCATTTAATGCGCTCGCAGACTATCTGACTTACTGTCAGGACGATAATTGCGGCTCGAACCAGAGGGAAACGCTTTGGAATCGATGCTCGTCGTGTTAACCCTTCGCTGTCGGAAGCTTTTCGCTGGGAATATTGCAAACTTAACCAGTTAATTGTGTTCGACGAGTATACTAATACTTTCAGCGACGGATTCTTTATTTTTTCATATAAACATGTAATTTTTCTTTATTTCGCTTTAATCTTTCATTAAAATATACCCTACGCGCATTCGTCCTTCGACGAGTACACGCATTTTTCGATTTTATTGCGATCGCAGATCGAGAGATTTTCCCAACTAAATTCCACAGTTAATTGGTTAACGATCAAATTAGGAAACTATTTTATGTTATTTAATACAAAGATTAGCGTTATATTTTGATGCATCAAATCAATGATTGAGTCTACTCTCGTGCGCAAAGAGCTAATCCTTTGCTGTCGGTGTTCTTCAATGTTGATTTTTCTTCTGTAAACTTCAATAAATGCATTTTTATAGTGTCTATTAAATGATATATGAAAATGAAGATTCATTTAATTCTTAGGTAACTCTAATTTAGAGTTCTTGATTTTTCTCAAGGAAATTTGCAACGAATTTTAATACAAGCCCCGCGTCGCTCGAATTATTAATTCTTTGTTCACCGTGATACTGACACCAAGATTCCTCCAATATTTTCTTTGAATCATTCACGATGATCCGACGTCACGTCTGAATGATACTTCATTCGCGAATTTGAGCTTAGTCACTTGACAACGCGAACGTTCTCGGATTCCCTATTCCATTGACGCGAGAGAATCATGATTTCCCCAAGAAACTAACAAAGGATATCTTAAAAATCACACTTTACCAAATTTCTTCGTAACAAATCATTACCATGCTTATCAAGGAGAAATTCGACAAACCCTCTCAAAACGTGAAACAAAGATTCTTCAACTCCTAAATATTACCCAAAGAAAAATGGAATAAAAGCAACTAATTACCATTCACCGGAGAAACCGAAAATATTGCACAGAATTTTTATTATGATTATAAAAAGAGGACATCCATACACCTCATTAAAATCATCTATATATATACATCTTATTAAAATGTTCATTAATCCCGCAAAAACAGGCTTATTCTTAAACAGAATAAAAAAACGCATTATTCGTCCCCCGATCCTGAAAGCTTTTTTTGTCCGCGTCGCATAAAAAGACGCAGCTGATTACATCACGCTGATTACATCGAATCGCCCGCCAACGAAGATGTCACGTTTCAATCAAAATTCAAATGAAAATCGCGTCGTTACGCTCAGCCGGAAAATCCACCTGAGAACGAAACGCTCTCGGAAGTTGGAGCGATTTCCCCAGAAATCGAGGCAGAGATTACAAGTCGCGTTAATCGGTGGCTCTTTCTCGCGAATCGTTTCACGCGGAACAAAGCGATTTTCACGGAAAAAAGACAGGCATGAGAAATTCATCATGTCGCGGGGCGAACGTGCTTAATCGTGGACGGCCAGAAAACACGCGCCGATAGCGCCGGCAAATTAGCTTTAATTAACTCCGAAATTGTCGCAGATTAAATTCATTCCGGCGGCGATTTGCATTCAGAAAATTCCAAACGTATTTACTTCTGTGAATCACCGGCGCTTTTTAGTTGGAAATATTGTATTTCTTCGAAGAATATCTAGAAACGTATAAGATAACGTATACATTGTAAACAAGAATATTTACAAACGTACGCGTGGCTCTGTTCCACTTCGGAAATTCGAATTTCTCGACTGAAAGTTAACGAAGGATCGAATCTTAACGTTGACACTACCGAGCAGCAATTGACTTTGTGAAATTCCTCTATAGAATCTGTGACAGTGCATGTATCGAGACTTTAATCGATTTATAATTCAGTTAGTGTGCTGTTAAATCATTTTTTTAATAATTTCTCAGAGAAACATCTGTTTTAATAATCGCAAAATGAATCAGGAATGATTTGATGTAATTAAGAGCAGGATAATGAATAAAGTTGTACAGAAACGGTAGTGCGCGTTGTTTGCGAAGAAAAAGAGCTGCCTGTCCCGGGAAAAGCGTAAAAAAAGCGGCAAAATGGTAAATAACGTTGGATAAACATAATAAAAGTGCTCGACAAAGGTTTTCCATCCGGAGGCTTTTAAATCAACCGTTTTCTGTCAGAGCGAAATTTACATCATCCTTTTGCTCAACGCTCAACGTTATTATGCCTGTTATCGACGGTGCTGGCCTCCTTTTTTTTGCATAACGATAAACTTGTTGATTTTAGTCTCATTTTTCTGTTTGAACGCGCTCGACTTAACATAATCGTTTCGAATTGTGACAAATATTTACCGAACGGGTGGAAACAAAATAAGATGAGCCTTCGCGAGCGTGTTCGTGAGAACGAGATTCGTGTTTGAGACTCGTGTTGTTAGTCGTTTGGATCTTTTGTCGTTGATTGCCGCGGTAATGGAGAGTTCGAGGTTTGATGTGGAAATTGGACGGTCGCGGATGAGTTATTTAATTTAAGGTTTGACGTCTAAATTCGTAGGTCGCGGATGAATAATTCGATTATTCGAGTGACGAGAGATTGACGTGTAATTTGAGATACTAGGGAAAAGAAAACTAGTCTCAATTTGAAAGTGGTAAATGAATAGTTTAATTCGAGCTTTGATATCTAAATTCGTAAGTTGCAAATGAATGGTTCAATTATTCGAATAACGAGATTGATACGTGGTTGTTTCTTTTTCTAGTATTCAACTTCGATGCATAACGCAGCTAATTGGTGATAAAAGTGTTCAAAAGTTCCAAGATTTCTCGCTCGTAAAGGATACAATGGAAATGGTTGATTATAATTGTCTAGAGATGAGAAGGAAACATTA